TCAGGTACGTTCTTTAGCAATGCCCGTGTGTGCCACTCAAAGTATTAGTAAGGCCGGTATTCATAGTCAGATCTTATATTTAAGACCGTCTTAAGTACAGTCTTAAGATGTCATGAACCAATCAAAGGGCCGCATTAGCGACTTAAGACATTACTTAAGACGGTCTTAAAATAAGAATCGACTATGAATACCGGCCTAAGTCTGTTCGAAAAAGAAATTTTGAGGCTGTTGCGGACGTGACAATATATAGTTTCTGATAGGCTGAAATTTTTATTTTCTGTTCCCTGTTCTCTGTTCCATTTATTGTGCGCAGCCCCTTACACACACTGATAAAACCGTTTTAGTAAAAACTGTTTTTATGCAACTGCCCATGTACGATTTTAAAACTGGGCCAACATCGGGCCAATGTCGGCTGCCAACTTCCGACTGTCGGCCCAGTACTGACTGTAACGTCACGCCGACGTCGGCATAATATCCAAATGATAAGATCGGCCCAACATTAACGCCAGTGTCGGGCCGACATTGGTCACCGACGTCGGGCCGACATTAAATTTCAGTGTTGGGTAGACATTGGTCACCGACATCGCCCCAACGTTAGATGCCGATGTCGAGCCGATGTCGATAAAATATCCAAATGATAAGATCGGCTCAACGTTAAAAGCTAGCGTCGAACCGACACTAATCACTGACATCGGCCCAACGTTAAAAGCCAGTGTCGAGCCGATACTGATCACCGACATCGGTCCAACGTCGGATACCAATGTCGAGCCGACACTAGTTCAAAATTTATATTTAAAAAATTATTTTTTAAATATAGATATTTAATACACAAGATATCTGAATGTGTATGATTAAGATTTTTTTGTCTTACCTGAAATTTAATATTTAAATTCATTTCGAAAAACACACTTACTTTGAGAGATTCGAACCTAGGATCTCTGGATCATGAGTCTCCTACCTTACGTACTAGACCATTCCTTCAGCTGATAAATTAATAACTTATAGTACATTTCAGTTTGCCGACAGTCATTAATCGAACATGGCGCGACGTCGGCCCAACCTACATTAGCCGATACTTACTCAATGACGACATTTGACCAATGTCTGGCCAACGTTGGCAACTGGTTGTTACGCCAACCTCGGCGCGACGTCGGCACAGGCTAAGTTAGCCGACTCTTATTTCAAGACAACTTCAGGCTACGGCCGAGCCAAGGTTGGGTCAACGTTGGCAGTATGTCGGCAACCGGTGGTGACGCCAATCACGACGCGACGTCGGTCTAACGTACGTCAGCCGACTCTTACATATTGACGAAGCTCGGGTCAACGTTGGCTGCACGTCGGCAACCGGTGGTCACGTCAATCACGGTGCGACGTCTGCCCAACGTATGTTACC